CAAGCATATTTACAATGTAACTACAGCAATCCGTGAGATAAGTATTTTATTGGACTTCACACTAAAAAGAGCACTAGAATCTGATATAGGCCAAGCAGATTATAAATCTTATTCAATGATTTTTGGCAAATATATTCTAAAAAAGTGTGGGATGCTTTTGTATAAGTATGTGCCAAATGGCTCTGTACATTAGACAAAATATGCCCTAATGACTTTAAAACATAAGAAAAATGTACAATATTTTTCCAGTCCAAAATAGGAGCAATTAACGTAAAGGGTGCTATGATTTTACTTGGAAAGTAACTATTCAGTGGCTATTTTGTTAGTAACTGTTTAACTGTGTGGTTATGAATTATTCTCTGGAGATGTTTGTGATGTTTCAGGAATTTTGGATGGGCAAGACATCTATTTCTAGAATTTGAAAAAAAAAAAAACAGATGCCAGTACACATACTAAAATACCAATATTGTTATCAGTATATTTAAAATTTTGCACCTGTTAGATCACTGTATTTTTAGGCAGTTGCTTCATTCTAAGCTGTTAACTGTTTGCTGCGCATTGGGCAATGTTTACAAATGTTCAATGGAAGTTACAGTGCCTTTATCAAGGCAGAAAATAGTGCATACATGAATAGGTATACTGATATTATGTCTGTCCAATTAAGACTTCTGGAACACACAGTATATCTTATCAGTTACTGAATTGCATTTACTGCTGTCAGGGACCGCCGCGGCTCGGCCGTCCCGGCGCACGCGCACTAGGGGCGGCTCACAGGCGGGGCGCGGCTGACAGGATGCCGTGCATGCGAAGTAGGAAGCCGCGGGCGCGCCTCGGGCGGCCAATGACAGCCCGGGGGGGCGCGTCCTGGGCAGCCAATGACAGCTCAGGGCGCGATATTTTAAGATGCTCTGCACTGTCACAAATCGCCGCAAGGTCTGACCTGTTATCTGAAGTTTCCTGTGCCCTGTGATATTAGACCCGGATTGTTTGACCTCTCTGCCTGCTCCAGCTCTGACCTGGATTATCTGACTACGCTGCCTTCTGAGTTTGACCCGGATTGCCCCTGACTACACTGCCTTCTCTTATCCCGACCCCCGGCTTGTTTGACTATTCTGCGGACTGACTTCGATACTGACCCAGTGTGAGACCTGACCACTCTCTGCCTGCCGTCTCTGTACCTCGCCATTCCCCACGTGACAACCGCCGGTTTATCCTGCCTGGTCCTGCCGGCCTCCTCACATCTGGCTCTCTTCTGGTTTACTCTCATCCCCGGAGGCTCCCTCTGCCACTGGTGGTATTGCTCGGAGGTCGTGACCTGGTCCTGGTTCTGCTCCAAGTCCATCCCCACCATCAGGGGGCCCTGGTGAAAACGCAGACCGGACTTAGATTCCACGCTCCGGGTGATTCCACCTAGTGGGCTGCCAGACGTACCACGTGGCGGATCCGTAACAACTGTATACTGTATGTATGTGCTGATATGTGATAGTAAATTTTTGTATGATAAAGCCCAAGCTGTTGCACGTGTAGCAAGTAAATGAATGAACCTTCCAGTGCTGCTATTACTAGGCTGCAGTTAGAGGGAGCTCTAATGATTTTTAGTGTGACTTCAGGCGACTGAAACCAACAAGCGCACAAACTCGGAATGCAAGTGAGCAACACATGCTTTGTGCTTTCCTCTTTGGTACAGATACTGTATCTTAGTCATACCTCACACTCAGATCACCGATAATCCTGTAACATGCACATCAGTTTAATCAATATTGTACTTGTGTTGTGCCACGTGTACTTATGCCAAGTATGGTTCCTAGAATCAATTCAATTTATATCTGTTCAGGTGAGCCCTTGCAATAAACAGTTTTTAGGAAATATAATAAAATGTAACAGGTACAGACAGACTACAATGAGTGTGATTAGCTTATGAATTCCATTTTAACCATGTATTTTAACCACTATGTATGTAACTATGTAACCATCTCACAAAAGAATGTGAGATTATGTAAGAATCTCACAAAAGACTGTTGTATTTTCGTAAGGACATCCAATTATGGCAGGTAATAACTCTTACTTGGAGAGGCTCGATGACTGGGTAGGTTAATTTTCTCAGCCTTTAATGTTCCATCTCCCAGGAATACTAAATACATATTAGGACATGTAAGCAATTTTTTGTTTGGGTGTTTGGTTGCATATGGATCACAGATCCATTACTCGTGTATTTCTCATCAGGTTTGCTGAGAAATTAATTAATGGTTTCTGAGAACCCTGGTTTGAAGTGAAGATTTACAGTTTCCAATTAATGCAAATCCATTTACTTATGCCTAGCTGTCTTTTTCTCAATATTCATTCAAATCAATAATCTAACTGAATCTTATATGGAAACATGTGGAAACCTTGGGTGAAAAGTTGGCAAAGCTTAGATGAAAATATAGATAAACAAATCATATAGTCTTTATTACCTGAAAATTTTGTAGAGCTACTATGAGGCCTAATTCTTCCCATCCCTTGCAAATCTCTAGCTGGTGAGTGGAATTTCTGATTTTTTACAGATACTAATCGCTATGGTAAACATATCATATAGTATGGTATTTTTATGGCCATTGTGCTGCCCAGAAGGTTACTTACTTTGTAAGTAAAGGAGAAGTACAGCTAAAGCTCTTTTGGCTGTACTTCTCCTGTGGATTGTTCTGCACTCCTGTGACGGGTTTCAGCTGACAGTGGGCTGAAGTCTGCTGTCGGCTGATGTCACTCAGCCAGTCCAGGCTGGTGAATGATCTCTTTAAAGTCAGGATTCACCCCAGAGTCTGGAGCGGCACCTGGCTCAGCCTCCCAGAGAGCCGCTGGGAGCCTGAGCGAGCTGTTCCCTTCCCATCCACAGCCCAGCACTCCAGTGAGTGCTGGGGGAGCAGAACAGACAGCGGTAACTGACAGTCACCACTCTCTGCTCAGAGTGGCTAACTCAGCAATCAGCTGTCATGTGATCACTGAGTTCTCATACTTAGAGCCGGCAGTGGACAGATACATCATTGGACCAATGCTGCATTCACCTTGGTAAGTATACTTGTGGGGGGAAAAAAGCCTATACTTCTCTTTTAAGTTATGCAGTACATTAATTGTACCACTAGTATGTCATTTACAGTGTAAATGTACTTCCCTGTAATACATAAAACATATAAACATACGAATTAAGCCTGAGGATCATTAGCCACTATATAAATAGCCTAAACCCAAATGCCTCCAACTCATCCAGCTAAACCTTTTTTATCTCTTAATAATTCAGGGATGTTGAGCTTTGTATTTTATGGTGTGGAAATAATTCTTTGTCCAAAGTGTAATGGGAATATACAGTGGTAATGATATAACTGTAAAATTTAATGGATCTCTTGGTTGCAAGAAAGATTTCATAACAGATAAACTAAAGGTGGGATATTGTCTTGTGTGTGTAATATTTTTATCAAAGATGTCTGTAGTATGTGATACTTTTTTGCTAGTTTTGTCCATTTTAGTGCACTAAATTCACCTAATTAAACACTAGGGATAAGTGGAGTCATTTCAGTTAAAGTGATTTCGCTGCAAAATTACTAATTTTGCCTTTAATGAAATTTTGCTGATGCACACTACTTGGGTGAAATTTCCTGGAAAAAAAAGTTTACATTGAAGAAACAGTTCCAATGTTGCTTTGAAAAGTTTTTTTTTAACTGTGTTTTTTTCCTTTTTCCTATTTAATTTTTTATTTTGCTTTTTCCCACAGAAACATAAAAGATGGGTAAAAAAGTAAACTAAATGAAAGCCACTGTATGCAAATATTATTAATATTTATTTCAGGTACTTATATAGCGCCATCAATTTACGCAGCGTTTTACATACATATATTGTACATTCACATCAGTCTCTAACTCTCAAGGAGCGTACAATCCCTAACTCACATTCATACATATACATATTAGGGCCAATTTAGACAGGAGCCAATTAACCTACCAGCATGTCTTTGGAGTGTGGGAGGAAACCGGAGTACCCGGAGGAAACCCACACAGTCACAGGGAGAACATGCAAACTCCAGGCAGGTGGTGCCGGGGTTGGGATTCGAACCAGTGACTCTAGTACTGCCAGGTGGAAGTGCTAACCATTTAGCCGCTGTGCTGCCCGAAAACTATATATAATCAATATTCAAGAAATATAGCCTCACTGTTGGAAAATATACTTAAAACACATTTGAATGTCCCCCTCAGCTTTTTGCTGCTTCCAGTAGGCCCTGGTGATGTCACTGGCATTAACAAAGAAACTAATCTGAAGTCAAATATTTCCATGTCCAGTTACACTATGTTGCCAAAAGTATATTGGGACGCCTGCCTTTTATACGCACATGAACTTTAATGGCATCCCAGTTTTAGTCCTTAGGGTTCAATATTGAGTTGGCCCACCCTTTTCAGCTATAACAGCTTCAACTCTTATGGGAAGGCTGTCCACAAGGTTTAGGAGTGTGTCTATGGGAATGTTTGACCATTCTTCCAGAAGTGCATTTGTGAGGTCAGGCACTGATTTTGGACAAGATGGCCTGGCTCGCAGACTCCGCTCTAATTCATCCCAAAAATGTTCAATCGGTTTGAGGTCAGGACTTTGTGCACCTGCACCAGTCAAGTTCCTCCACCCAAACTCACTCATCAATGTCTTTATGGACCTTGCTTTGTGCAGTGGTGCTCAGTCATATTGGAACAGGAAGGGGCCATCCCCAAACTGTTCCCACAAAGTTGGGAGCATGAAATTGTCCAAAATGTCTTGGAATGCTGATGCCTTAAGAGTTCTCTTCACTGGAAGGGGCCAAGCCTAACCCCTGAAAAACAACCCCACACCATAATCCGTCCTCCACCAAACTACACTTGGCACAATGCAGTCAGGCATGTACCATTCTCCTGGCAAATGTCCAGTGGCAGTGTGCTTTACACCACTGCATCCGACACTTTGCACTTTGCATTGCACTTGGTGATAAAAGGCTTGGATGCAGCTGCTTGGCCATGGAAACCCATTCCATGAAGTTCTCTACGCACTGTTGTTGTGCTTATCTGCAGGCCACATGAAGTTTGGAGGTCTTTAGCTATTGACTCTTTGGTGAGTTTTGAGCACTGCACACTTCAGCATGCACTGACCCCGCTCTGTCATTTTATGTGGCCTACCACTTTGTAGCTGAATTGCTGTTGTTCCCAGTTGCTTCCACTTTGTTATAATACCACTAACAATTGACTGTGGAATATTTAGTAGCAAGGAAATTTCACGGATGGACTTATTGCACAGGTGGCAACCTATCACGGTACCATGCTTGAATTCACTGAGTTCCTGAGAGCAACCCATTCTTTCACAAATGTTTTTAGAAGCAGTCTGCATGCCTACGTGCTTCATTTTATACTCCTGTGGCCATGGAGGTGATTGGAACATCTGAATCCACTGATTTGGAGGGGTGTCCCAATACTTTTGACAATATAGTGTATGCCAATTTGCAACAAAGTCAAGTCTGTTTTTCTGACAAACTTCATTTTCACCAATGATTTCCTAACCATGGACTTGATATCCTTGGACCAGGCTAATTCTGTCCCTTGCTTTGGATCAATGTCTTGTTCAGTAGTATGTAGCATCTTTAGCATTTCAAATCAAGGTATTTTGGGATTATAATATTCTCAGACATTAGTAGGTAAATGAGTGTAACACAAGTTGAAAGACAATTGCATTTCCCAAATAGGACATTCTTGGCTCAAGGGACTCCATAATTTCTGCAACAATTATAGCCTTCTTTTTTCCTTTTTTTAAGGGAAACTGTTATCAAGCTAAATACATGTCTTATGGAAGCTGCCATTATCCAATACACATTATTTAAACTTCAAGCCTTTGGAAATATGACGGACAGCAACAATTGACTGGGACTACATAGGCATGTCGAGCATTCAGAAAGGAATGTTGCACAAATTCTTATCCTTTGCATTGCTGTGTGACCCCCTAAAGTGAGACACCAATAATTATTTTGCCGGGAAATGCACCCATATACAACAACTAGTGAATGTGTTTTCCTCTAAAGTTAAAAAAAAAAACCTAAACAGAATTGTCATACAAAATTTGAAAGCAGAGCTAAACTTCACTGGGTGAAAGTGAGCTCTTACCATATTGTAACACACAGATTAGATGTTAACCCATTATACCTCTCTTGGCTGGAAAAAAGACTCTTGATCTCAATGAGTGGTGACTGACATGTCATATAGTTCCTGGCATCTCATAGCTTTGGTACCCCTGTTCTTCCAGATGTCTTAAACAGAAGAACATCAACAATGCAAGAATGCAAAACACATTGGAGTTGGTTTACTAAACGCAAATCATGACTACACTACAGTGTAATGAGAGCTACTGTATCCATCCTGAATGTCCTTCAAGCCTGTTCTTTATTCCCTTCATTGTATTAGTTGGGCACAATAGAGTTAGGAAGCTTTTCTTATGCAAATGCACATTGCTTTCATGCTGTCTTCTACTTAGACAACCTGCCTGGCTTTCTGCTTTTTATAGGAGTTGTAGGTGCTTTGTCAAATGCATTCTTGTTGAATAGTATTGCTCATTGATCCTTATCACACTTCTTTTGACTGAAGGTACAAAGCACTTCCCATTCTTTGAAATATCACTATGGTAATTGATGTGGGCTCACATTTTCACTTTGGGCCTAATTTACCATTGTAGAAAGTAAAGTGAAGTGAGTTGGTATATTACCCCAACATACATATATTTTCAGGATAATTTAAGAGTTACTGGTTTGGTTTACTGCTTTGAAATGTTTAAATTCATGTCTTTTAACTGCAGCATTATGCTCAGTAAGAGTAAGCAACAGCCTGTCCCTCAGCTTCTTAGTCCCTATGAAATACATTTTACAGGACATGCACATTGTTGTGTTACTTCTCTAAGTAAGGCCCCATACTTTATCCTTCTGAGCAGGTGCATACCTACAGGGGTCGCAATTGAAACCCGGCCCTATGCTGCAGGAGGCCCGTGAGGCCTCCCTGTATGCCTGGATAGGTGGAGTGATGGGGGGTGGCTGCATAAACAAATCGATCTCTCCATTTTCCTCCTGCAACCACTGAATGCTTGTGGGAGAGAGAGGAGGAGAAGCAGGCATTCAGTGGCTGCAGTCGTCCCCATCACTCCTCCTATTCAGCTTCTTTCTGCTGTGCCCCCCTATCCTCTTTGCCCCCCTATGAGCTCTCTGGCTGCCCTTTGCTCTTTCCCGGCCTACCTCGCCCATCTGTCAGGATGGAGAGCAGGGAAGGGGCTGGAAAATATGTCATTTACCATACCAATCACTGACTCATCTGTGTTTACTATACTTTGGTTTGTGAATGAATGTGAAGCTCTGTACAGAGCTATTCCTGTTCATTCATTCTATTCAGCTGAGGCTCTGTCCCAAAGGTGAAAGATCAGAGGTCTGTTTAGACCCCTGATATTTCACCAAAGCCCCCCAATGTGGCTTCTAAAAAAAATTGTCAAAAATAATGTAAAAAGAAATATTGTAAAAAAAAAAACACAGTAAAAAATTATAAAAAAATAAAATAACCAAAATAAAAATCTACTGACACCAGTGGTGGTACTACCAGGGTCACAAATGTTGCACTTGCAATTGGTCCCTGGTGTTATGCCACTGGGCTCGGAGGGAAGGGCCCATGCCAGGGGTGAGGGGGGCCCTACATGGATTCTTGCATTGGGACCTGAAGGTTCTAGTTACGCCACTGCTTGTCAGGATTAATTGTAAAATTTTAACCCAAAAGTCATCAGTTCAAGCAGCATGTTCTGTTATATAATTTGTGATATTTTTTAAAGAGTGTGGAAGTTACTCATTAGAAATCTGTTTTGTGGTAGTGCAAAAAATGGCACAACTTGCAACAGTTTCATGTACATATCAGTGATGTTGTTTCATGTACATATCAGTGATGTTGTAGAAGTGTCTCAGAAGAATTTTTCTGAGGCAGAATTTTGGCTGTGACACAATACTTACATGTGCAATACAATTTTCTCCACCATAGAAGAGGCCTTATTTACTTCCACTTTCCTTATTACCGATATGGTGGTAAATCTTTATGAATTTGACACAACAATCGCGGCAAACAGTAAAAGTGGCACAAATAAAGAACACATGCATTTTCCCACATGTTAGTACAGGCAGTACCCCATTTACAAACAAGATAGGTTCTGCAGGTTTGTTTTTAAGTCGACTTTGTATGTAAGTTGCAACAGGTACACTTTTTAAGTGTAACGCCCGCCAAAAAATAATTTTTTTACGTTTAGCATAGCATAGATAAGGATTATCTGGCCATGAGGTGAAGTGGGATTGCTGACATTTCTTCTGGACAGTAAGGGGCAGCATGCGGTGAGCAGCAAGATGGCCGCCCTGCAGTTTTTGGGAACCAGCGTGACATCACGCTGCCTCAGTACGAGTTGTATGTAAGTCGGATGTTTGTAATTCGGGGACTGCCTGTAATGAGAAAGAAAATGTTGCATAGGTTTCATGAATTTGGCACGAGTTATGACTACACCACCAAAAAGGTGTCGCAAATGCCATACTAATCACCCCCAATGTCTTTATATGCAACATTTATTTATGAAACTAAGTAACAAGATCTGTGTGTGGCCACTTTGGGTTTAGTTTCTTCTTACCCTTTTATTAAAAGATTGTCATCTGTCTTGAGTCTTTGCCTTGAGTTGTTGAGACTGGACGATCTGGTTAAGGGCCTGTATAGGTATGGATAAGGTTTATTACAAAGTTAAGCTTCAGTGCAGTTGTGTCTCTTATCAAGAATGACTGGAATGAAAGTATTGTAGATAGAAAGAGTTCTTTGAATGATAACATCTTCAGAGGACTGCGGTACTTTGAGAGAAAAAATAGAACAACCCATATTTGTATGAGACATAACTCATCAAGCTGAGGGAAGATGGCATCCCGGGGTTCTGAATGGGGGCCTATGTGTATGTCTACATGTGCTAATACTTTCTAAACAGCGCTCCCCATTTAAGTAACTCAGAGGAATGTTAGCCTGTCAGTAGTCTTAGTATAAGATGACTGTCATTCCATTGGCAGTGCATTCTTTCTTTAATGACTTGAACTTCCTGGTGGGGATTCATAGGTCACAGACTTCTAATCTTCACCCTGTTAGTCTTTTAATTATGAAGATAAAAAGAGAACATACATGTAATAAATAGTCGGGGTTGGCATGCTCATAGATTTCTTTCCATGCAGCTTGTTAAAGCCAGGCAAAATGATCATGTGAATGGGTTGTGTTGTAGCTAAACTGTCTTTGTTGTATGTTGTACTGATATCAGAAATGGGGCCCCTGACTACATGAAGGTTCTAGCTTCTCACCCAAAGCTACATTTCATTGTACAATGACATATAGGCGTTTATTTACTAAAGCTGGTTCACTCGAATCTCAAGCACTTCTGCATGGAAACCAATCAGCTTACAAGTGTTATTGCTAAAGCTTAATTGAACAAGCTGAGGTTAGAAACTGATTGGCTATCACAAGATTCTGAGTGAACCAGCTTTAGTAAATAAACCCCAGAATATCATGGAGCTTTTTGTCCTGACATTGTTGTCAAGCTTTCTGCTAACTGTAAAGTAGTATTACACCCACAGTGTTTTTTAGCTTTACACATTGACCTCAATGAAATACACATTCCCCATTAAACTGTTTATTAAAGTCCTTAGTCCAGGACTTGCAGTTTACAACTTTCAATGCTGCTGGCTTCTGCTCTTTCAGTGCTGTTTCCCTGGACTTCCAGGGGAAAGAGTTAACAATGGACAATGCAGTTTTGAGCTGGTCTGTAAGCTTGGAGAAAGAAGGGGTGAGGGGGGTGGGAAGTTGGAAGGAGCAGGGGTTGTCTGATTCTATTGATGCACATAGTGTAAGGTGACACATTTCTAGTGCATGCAAGAATAGCTTGATAGGATGTTGCATGATAAACGAGCCATCCCAAAACAGGGAACCTGGGGTAGCGGTCATGGCACCAGCTAAAACTGGAACATAAGCAAGATAAAATGATACGTACACAATTGTTGACTGAAGTTGATGAAAGTGACTGGGGGTTGAATATCACTTTCACCATGTTACCTCCGTAAGATTTTACCCCCTTCATGACCTGGCCATTTTTTTCTAAACAGCACTACGCATGCCCACACTGCCAAAAGCACCAAAACCTGGTTCAATGACTGTGGGATTACTGTGCTTGATTGGCCAACAAACTCGCCTGACCTGAACTCCATAGAGAATCTATGGGGCATTGCCAAGAGAAAGTTGAGAGACATGAGACCGAACAATGCAGAAGAGCTGAAGGCTGCTATTGAAGCATCCTGGTCTGCCATA